CCTTTACAGATCAGGCAGTGAGAAGTGATTGGAACGAGAACAGTGGAGTGGGGGCATTTGGGGAGGGGGTGCTATCCAGGAGGGATCTACCACGCTATTAAGAAACCAATGAAACGTTATTACAAGAATTGTTATTGAGCTAGGAAAAAATTATATTTTTTTTTAATTTTTGGGAAAATAATCACTACGTAAAAATCCAAGGGTAATTTGCATTCGAAATTAACATCAGTCATTGAACAACGTGCTCAAAGTCTTGCCTGAAATATTTTATTCTTACGAAATCTGTAAGCTTGTGGATTTTTGGTCTGAGTGTATTACATGTCACGGTGATTGCGTATAAATATAAGCTATTTCCAACTGCAGTTTAATTATTTTGCCAGAATATGTTTAATTTTTATTTTGTAGGATTTGTGAGTCTGAAGATGGCTTTCTTCTGGGTTGTTGCGCCGTGTAGTCTGGTAGAAGTTTACCGACGTTTCAAGACACTTGGATGATTTATTCTAAGAGAAGAATATTGAAATTTGATTCTTCTGTCTAGCTTCCACGTAGTAATAACAGTTGATATACTACAGTAGTCGGAATAATTATTTGAACTTATTTGAGGTCATGTTGGGAATTTATTTATACAGATTCTGTTTTTTAAGTAAATATTTTATTAAGGTATTTATCGAACCAGTCAGTTCATCTGTTTTCATGATATTCTGCATGTTCTTTACTGTTAATAGTCGTACATTATTCGTAGAAAATGCTGTCTTAAATTCTCGTATATTTTACCAAGCGCTTTTGTACAGAAGCACAGTTTTGTGGGGTTGCATAATAAAGTTTGAGCCAGGATGATGTCATGTTGGCCTTTATAGTTTGAGAGGCCAAAATATATGTTTATGAATGTTCTGTAAAATAAAGCTGAAACAGTGTGCTGTTAAAAAAGCGATTTATCTCGATCGCCGTTTAGTTGCGGAATATCCAAAGAAAGAACGGAAAAGAGAAGAAAGAACTAACAAAGAACGGAAGGAAGACGTGGACCTAATAAACAGATCAAAAGAAAAAGCGATTTGATGTTTGAAATAATCGGTCTCCGAGATTCTTAGAATTCAACACATCCAATGTTAATATGCAGTTAGGTCGGATATTTCACATTTCGTAGTATTCTTCACTCCTAGAAATGACCTCTCAAAGTTTTTCAAGTAAAATTGGTGTATCGACATTGTGAACAACCACTAATAAATGAAAATGGGAGATTATGCCAACTAATTCAGAGAAACCCTACCTACATTAGTCTATCGACTAGAGGCTCCTCACCTTGGAGACCTGGTCTAGCGGTTAGAACGCTGGCCTTGTAATCCTGGGGTCTCGGGTTAGATTCCCGGCGGTACCCGAATTTATAACTTGTGTTGGGCAAGGCCGTGGTCTAGGCAACACGGAGTTTTCCTCCGGGGGCTTCCCCGGTTTCTCCGTGGCATCCCAACAATTACTCCATTCACACACAGAAGAAGGCAATGGCAAACCACTTCTGGATCATCTGCCAAGAACGTATATGAACAGGTCCCAGTCCGAGAAAAGGAAGGAAGGATCCTGTTCATATGGACCTGTCGTCAGACAGAACACTAAATAAAATATAAAATAATAAATAATTCAGAGACTGTCCCGGTGATGTTGCCGCGATGTGTACTGAAGTCCATCCACAATTTAGAATAGAACATTGCTCTTAAGGTCAGGAGCTGGAGCTAGATGGTACAGAGAGGCGTTGTACTGACTGTCCAGGTGCAACACTTAACACTAGCATGCACAGCCACGTTTTATAAACACGACATTACAGGAAATCTGCACATCTACTAGATACAGTTTAAGGAATCGCTGGTCTGACTTTGTGCGTTATGTGATTGTGCAGGTGGACTTGTGGAAGCTGTTGTGTTTAACAGGCATTAATGTTATATGACCTTGAACATTTTAAGAACAGGCTGTTAAGCGTTATCCTGTATAGTTTGTCATTAACTCTGCTGATTTAAGTAAGAGTTCAAAGTGTACACCGAAACGTTTTTTCCTTAACACTTAGGCTTCTATGAAGGTCACTGGTGGGTCTTCTGAGAATGGATTTGAGTACAGCAAGATATTCCGATAGGTCACAGAACTTTGTCGTTAATTTGGGGGCCCAGACTTTATGGAGTAAAATAATCTGTTTCTAACCCCACAGCTTGAACAGGAGATGCGAAAGGCTTGTGACAGCCACCGGAGTGTCATGCCGTTCTTTGCCATTTTGCATTCGCCATCGCCCAGATGTTAATTTAATGCAGGTACAAGTCTGTTGTCGCTTAGCTGCCCAACAGATATTGCAATGCGCATAGAACGTATTTGTTCTTTTGTTTAGTTAAATATTTACCATGCTGGAAAATTTTTGAATATTTTTTTTTTTGATGAGTAAAACTTTTTGATCCTAAAAAGGTCTCTGTTTTATGTCATGTAATATTTTTTGTGCGCTGAGCCGTTTTCGGAATATTTGTAAGGTGCTTCGTGTGAAACGTAGGTTTTATTTACCGGAATTCTCTAAAATTAAATTCGCCCGACAACTTTTATCGTGGATCTTCGAATGCCAGCTTTAATTTAAAACCGTCAAGTTGACGGACAAGACTGGCAGGCAAAGACCTGCATAAAAGAAGCGCATTGTCTATGTTGGTCATCTGGGCTGTAGATACCGACGTTTTGTTGGAACATGCTGCCTCCAACTTCAGTGATGAAGGATTACGTAGTGATAAATACGACCTAAAACTTTCGATCGAACAAGGAAACTTGTTTTTGATTTATTCTTGTGGAAGAATTGTTTCGAACGTTGCAGCCCAGTGTGTGAAAACATTAACTTAAGATTTGTTGTTGTGGTGGCGGCATTGAAAATAGTGTCCCATAGAACCATAGCGTGTTGTAAATTCGAGCAGTATCATATCATATTCACGCCCCTCTAAAAAGGAGTTTCCAGTATCAGGGAGATTACGTAATTTCCAAAGGGAGCGCTGTTCCCAGCATAGCCCCTCCCTCCTCTACTCATATCTACCACGCCACAAGTCAGCAACCCTCGTGATAAGCGGGTGGGCTTCGTGCAGGCGCATGAGGACGCACCTGCCATGAGGTTGTGCGTTTGTGCGTGTGATGCGGGCCCAGTCGCGCCCTGACTGCTGTGACGGTCGGGTGTGTGAGTGAACGTTAGTTATGAATGCATGATTACGTGGAAAATGTCGCCGTGTCGTCATCTTCAGTCCAGTGTCATTGGTTGTAATAGAGTGGCGCAACATACATGTAGCTGGGGACGGAGAAGGTAAATATTACCCAAGTTTTGTATGACTTGGTTCTTTTATTCATTTACATTTGGTACTTTGTGTTGGTTGCTTCATCATATGCCGCTACTGGAAAGTAAGACTTGTTTTCAACCACATATCCGGTCTCGGTTAAAATTTCTTCGGTGTAGTTAATGTTCTGAAGTACTTGTGACGGTTGGGGGAATCAAATATTATTTTGTAAGGGAACTTTGGAAATGTTCTGTCGGAAGGCCCAGGACCGATCTGAGTAAAATATTCAAGGGGGTTATAGGTTTTGAAGTTGAAAATGAGATTGATTTTGCTGAGGATGTGTTTAATGGCGGCCATTCGTCTAGGCCAGGGGTTCTGGCCCCTTTTTCGCTGGCGTACCACTAATTATAATTTAACACACTCTGTACCATTAACTAAATGCTTTCAGGGAAAACTTATTTATGTTAATATTATCTTTTTCTTTTCTAACTTCGCCTACCACTCAGCATTGACTCACGTACCACCAGTGCTACGCTGGTCTAGGCGGTGTTGAAACTTTCTGATCCTAGAGCGAGTTTTTTTTTCCTGGTTGTATCTAAGTTACTGATTACAATATTATATGTTTACGTAATCGAACTTACCCATCTTCCTAGCCAGCCAGCCGGTAATTGTGTCGAGCGAGATTATTATGAATGCTGAAGAATTGTGTAGAAGGAAGCAGCCGTGACTTATTTTAATGTTATGCAGACAATCTTCGATGGACTGAGGATAACCATGATAATGATACCCAAATAAATTTGCCGAGCATGTGTTTATAGTTGCAATTGGGTGCCATACATTTACGCTAATAACAGTTATTAGTTTTAGTAACTTGAACGGCTTAAGCCTATAGGTTGTCCGTACCAGGAATTACCATGGCGGGAACGTGAGACTGGCTGCTTACTCCATCTGCGACCGAGTTAATGAATTTGTTGGAAGCTGTGCTTCTAGCGTTGCGCATCAGTACGACGATACGTGTACCGTTTACACTAATAACGTAATCAAGTGCATGACTGTGGCAGATCATAACCTAATGTTCATCAATAAAGTCAGACATGCACAGGACGTTTTGGTGGGGAAACGGCAGCTTGAAGGGAAGTAGCTGAGTGGTTATTGGCCGGACAAGGAAAGTTGTGGGAACGTGGAGTTGTCTAGAGTCTTTGGAAGTGGCGGTTTTTGAACCTTCGCGTTACATTGACAATTGTTACACACACACACACACAGTTTGTGAACTTTATTAGACACAACGACGTTTATTCACTGTGATGTGTTGGAAGTTGATGATGGTATTCGTACATATTTGGTAGTTAGAAGAAACGAAACACAAAATGCTACTGCTTTTTGGTTGCTTACTCGTATTTTTTTTATCACACCTGTTGTTTCGTAATTATGTGGCGAACATCTTTGTAGTATCCCACACTCTTTTGTCTAAATCACAGTGGTACCTCCTTTTGCGTGCGGTAAGTTTTTACCTTGTATTTTATTTATGGTTTTAGGTTAGTACTTTGAATAAACAATATTTTCCTGTTTTATTAATCTGGGAGAGTTGAGAAATTCAAATGAGGTTTTAACCGGAAACCCTAAAAGGAAGACATCGCTTTGTAAATCTTGGTTCATGTGAATGATAACATTAAACGGATCTTAAATTAATGGGGTGTTATGGTGCCGATTGAATTTATTTGGTTCACTGTAAGGACCAGTGGTGGGTTCTTGTGAATAAAGGATTCTGCTGAATGGAATTAGTTTAACGTCATTAACCGACTGATTTTGTAGTTCATGAGGGGTTGGCGCCGAAATGTTAAATAATACCTTATTTAGTTTAAAACGTCACATTGGTTACTTTTATACTAGTTGAACAAAATGTATTGATAAATTTCTTAGGTGGGCTTGAAGTGAAGAACTACGAATTAAACGGCAGTTTACCATCATTAATCTGTTTAATTACTGGCAGTGTGCAGACAGAAAATGATCACTAGACTCCTGTTGTTAGGTAAATAATTTATTTCAATATTTGTGTTAGCAGTTATGTGGCCAGTTGCTGTTGTAACATAACTGATGGCATGAATCAGAGTTCCATTTGAGATCCAAAAACTCATTCACCCAATAAAAAAAATATTAATCTCCTGTAGAACGGGAAGTTTTATTCTCCTGTTGGCAAGAGTTGACACATCATATTAGAGAAATGTGTGGTGGAGCTTTAACCCGTTACAGTCCACTGGTATGTATGTAAATATATGTACCACCTGATCTAACAACCATTTCTTTAAACAGCGTTAATCGTTTAACCTTTGTAATGGTGAAGTTTAGTGTTTTCTTCGCGGTACGGACTGAATTCTTATTATGTTCAGGTGAACTTTGGGTTTAAAGGGTTAAATAATATTAAATATGAGATATTACATGTGAGCGAATAGAAAGCAACTTCTCGTGAGATATTGCGAGGAAATAAATAGTGCGAATTTAATGTTTTTCGCATTAACTGAATTTGGGTCGAATATTTTGTCTTACGTCAGATGAATCGTTGGCCATTATTTGCATGTGTGCCATGATGCGGCTAATAAATTATGCCTCGCGATTGCCGTGGAATACCACGCAACTGTGTCACAGGATCGTCCATCTTTGAATACCGCGATTGCCGTGTCACAGGATCGTCCATCTTTGAATAGTTAGGGTTATCCGGCATGTCAAAAAATATCAATTTTCACGTGTGGGTTCGTCGTGTTTTGAGCTAGTTGAATCTTATCCACATATTTCCACCTAATTTTCCCATTTATGGTTAGGCTGCCCTGACGATTTTTCGACAAAATATAGTGCAGCTAGGTGTGTGCTTTTATTCGTCATTAGTTTGGTTTGTTTGCCGCATTCTTGTGTCTTCCTATTACCGTGTCGAGCACCAAACATGAGGAGTCTGTACAGTACTTGTAAAAAGGGGTAGAAAATTTGAGGGAAGGAGTTAATCACCACAGAACCCCCTACAAAGTCAGCCGTTTCTAGTGTGGCGGCCGCGCAAAGCATTTCACATCGACGTCATGAAAAAATAACACATATGAATGCTGTTATATGAAATCCAATTGAAATGTCTCCTTGTAATTATGTTTTTCTTGGGTAATGAAGACGTACCAGTCAAGTCACAGACATGTATTTGTAGGGAGTTTAATTCATTATGAATTGGATTGCAAAGGACAGCATTCGATTTGTGATACAATCGATGGAGCGATAACACTACAGCGAAAGGTTCCCCGAACATAAGCAAGTTGTGGTATTTTTATTACGCGCTCTGCGGTCGGTTTTGCAACCTGTTGCTTACTATGTTAAACGCACAGAAGTTCCCACGGTTGTGTATTCGATTGAGTCCGCTGGAGTTGGTGTTGCGAGTGTGGAAGACTCTCTGGTTGCCATCATGGCGGCGGTACTGTAGTATGGAGGTATGGCGCCGTTCACTTGGATGAAATTTCTTGATCAGCCATTATCAACCCGCTGTCGTTTTCGTATTTCGCGTTGATATTTGTTACTGTCATTCTGTTGTGAAGTACTTTTACCTGATAACAAGAAGGCGCGTCGGATAAGAACTGGGATGCGTCTCACAGATGAACAGTTGGAAGGATGGATACGAATCGCATTAAGAGAAATTAAACGTTTTGTTAAAAGATTGCTCAAACAGAAACATGTCTGATTTTGTTAAAGAATATTATTGTGTAATACGTTAATCGGTTTGAAACAATTGGCCTTCATAATGGATTTTTATTTTAGAGAAAGTGTCATGTCGTTTCAAGGAGTTTCCGTTGTTTTTAAATTTGCGGCCCGTGCGTAGATAAGAAATGAACGGGACCACAGGTCTGGAAAAGGTTGACACCCCTGTGCTAGACTGCCGTTACTTGCCGGCTGTGTATTTTTATAGGCCAGCCATGACTAGTATTTCTGATGGAAAGGGATTAAATTACAAACACGATATGACGTTAATACCGATTTACATAAACGTAATAGTTGATTCGGAAATGATTTGTGGATTACTCGTCATGAAAACATATCGTTTTACTTTCATTATAAAATACAGAATTAAGACAGGAATTAAAGTAAGTCCCCGATTTTACTCTCGGCCAAAGCATCCACTGCTTTTGTTGGTTTCCTTCCATTGTAGCAAGCGAATGCTTGATTGGTAAATTGAAATTGGCCACGTCCGTTTCCTCCACAGTATTTTCCTGGTCAGTAAATTTCCGCCTTTTGTGTAACTCGAGCAGACCTTTAATTACGGTGTTCAAATCAGAATGAGATGGGTGAGACATGCAGCACGAATGACGGATCATAAATGCATACAAGGTAGGTTTGAGGTTTTCACGGCGGTGAGTATGAACATGGCTGGCTGTCTTCTAGGTTGCATTGCCGTGTAGTGTGGTATAAGTTAGCCGACGTTTCAGAGGTCCTTGTTATCTCCATCATCAGGGTGATGTAATCAGCCTCTGCCAGACTATACGACATTGTAACCCAGAAGATAGCCACCGAAGTCCGTACAACCTACTAGCCAAGAAACCTGGCGTCAGTGGGAAGATAATATTTCAGCGGATGTTCGAGAAATATTATGGAGACTGTTCCTCAAGATGGGCCCAGTGGCTAGCGTCTTTGAACTAGGTAATGAACCTTCGATTTCTATAAACAAGTGGCAATATATCTACCAGCTAAGTAAATGAAAATTTTTTGTATTTCTTTATCTACATCCATCGTTTCTCCCGTATCCCTTTCTCACCACTTTCATTTGTCCGTGTTGTGTGTTAACGTAACCACAGCTTTCTGTACGAAGTCCACGCCCATTAAATGTCTCCTGTGAGCGCAAGTAAACATGAAATCATTATTCAGTACTGATTTTATACCCGTTATACTAATAATGCACGTTAAGTTGTATTTCTTCAGGATGCTCTCTGATTCCGGAGTCCCTCACAGAGAATTAAACAAACTGCCATCACCATTGCCTACCTTTGTTCTTTGACGACTGTAGAACGAGAAGTATTGGCTTCTCACCTGGGATATTTCCAGTTGGCACGACGATTCCTAGTGGTTAAAAAAACGCATTTGAAACAGGAGAATCCTTAGCTTAGGTGACGCATTTTAATTTGGACTAAATGATTTAGAATTGCCAGTTGTTCCATATCATATATATATGCCACTTTTTGAGTACATATCTCGATTCTTCTCATATATTATTAAATATCTCTATTTAATTTGTCGTTTGTAAAGGACGGGCAGTTTGTAAACGCCGTTATCTACCAGCGGGACTTGCATTTGTTGCTTACGAGACGACCTTCAGCTATTGGCTGCAGCAAACCGTGACTGTTGAGCTGATTTGCTAAGTGATATGCAATTTCACCCCAAAAGTCTGCTTGTGGTTTAAACTATAATAGCATTTTCCCTAGAATAATGCTTACATTTTCCTCAAAATTTCTAGTGAAAGTTATTTGTCACTTTTTGCCAGCCATCAATTTGATGACAATATTCCTCATTTCTGTCTTAACCAGTTTTGCCAACTGTGGTAGTTACATGTATCTGGAAAGTCGGTGGCATCCGTATGAAGAGATCCACTTGTGATGGAGTCACGTATGTATCTGGAAAGTTGGTTGGCATCCGTACGAAGAGATCCACTTGTGATGGAGTCACGGCTGTAATGCTACCCGTAACCAATTTTCTAGTTTATAAACTACCATTACAGTGAAGATGGCTGTCTTCTGGGTCGTTGCGACTTGCAGTCTGGTAGAAGTTTACCGACGTTTTAGAAGTCCTTGCTGCCTCCGTCATCAGGGCGATGAAGACCTCTGAAACGTCTGTAAACTTCTGCCTCGTGAGTGGAACGGGAAGTTCAGTAGGTCGTATGTCATCTGTTGGCTTCGCAGGTGCGTGTGGCGGTTGTAATGAGGGAACAGCTAACAACCTTGAGTTATTTCATGAAGGCAGAAAACCGTAATTGTTCTTCTTATGGGAGACACGTTGATGGGTAAGTATTACTTCCTTTTGCCTGTGACGCTCATGCGTTCCGAAACACCAGTGTGCTTTGAAACATGTTTTAGGGTAGGACATACATTTGAGTGTTTATAAACAGAGTAAGTACATTGGGAATTATTTTGTTTTTCGAGGAACATCGGGATTTATACAGATCGGTAATGTTAGGATATTGAAATTAAGGAGGTTGCGATGAACTACAAATGTATCGTACGGAAGGTTGGTGGAGAAACCTGTTAGAAGACGGACACTTGGTTTAGGATAATATTAAACAAGATCAAAGGAAAGCAGAATGCAAGGAATGGGTGTGGATGGAACTGGTTCATGGCAAAGTCTAATGGCGGCCTTCCTATTAGTGGCGTTACACCTTCGAATTCTAGAACCACAGTGGTTGATAATGTAGGTATTTTTTAAATAACGTTTTTGGTGCAGGAGTAATACCGGGTTTACAATTTATGAGCCTGCGGTCGTGCTTACATTGCATTATCGGCCGCTGCTGTTGACGTAGGCGGGTTTTGTACGCGTGAGTCACGGGCGAATCAGTTTCGGTGCCACTAGTAACAGCGAACTACATTAATACATGTTATTACATTAATTGTTCTTCCCTTAAATCACAAAAGATGTTCAAAGTGACTTACTTCCTTGTGCTTGCAAGCTAGCTTCACATCTCGTTAACATGTTTCGAAATACTCGACGAAGCTCTTCTTGGGAAATTTTCATCACCTAAACAAAACAGTTGTGTGTCTGTTAAAAATTATCTAATTCTAATGAGGCATGTAATGTCTCAAAGATGTGTTCTCCGTCAGTATACAGTAGATTACGGTTAATTGGGTCATCGGTTAATCGGGGCAGCCGATTATTTGGGACAAATCTTAAAGAACAAACCTTTTTAACTCCTCACGTGAAACTTCGCATAATTGTGGCAACCGCATAATTGGGCCCCAAGTGTTCTGGTCCCGATGTGTCCCATTTAACCGGAATCCGCTGTATTTAGGTTGGAATGGCGTTAATGTCTAGCCAGTCTTCAAATCCCCCTCCCCTTTCCCCACCGAAACTTTTAGAACTTTTTTCTTTGTGGAGAGTCACAAGCAACTTGTCCAGCAGTTGTTATTAGGCTTTGACTTCAGTAATTGGTTGGTTATTGGTTTAATTTATCACGCTGTATCAAGTGCTTAAGTTACGTAAATTCGGATGAGATGTGACATGTTGATTGTGAGTGACGAATAGAAAGGCGTGTAGCATAGCAGAGAGTTGTCGTAGCTTGTTTTAATTTTTTGGAGGGTCCGAGGAAGATCACGTAAAAGGTCCCCCAACCTGAATTCCAACAGTCTTCGTCTCAAACTTGTGTCAATATCAGTTTCAGTAGATTCTAGAGTATATTTTCTTCCTTTCCTTTTTTTTTCTTTTCTTTTGGAATTCCTTTTTATTTTTTGTCTTATTTTACTTTTCTTCCTTTCTGAGAATGCAGTGTCGACAGAACACTATCCATACACCCATCCACTGGTGTGATACCTAAGAACTGTTTACAATTCGGTTCCTGCAAAATAGATAATGGGTGAACAATTCACAGAATTCACAAGCTGCGCTAAATGCAATTTGATAGGGCCTTTTGACTGATCAACCTCTAATACTGAGAACTCATACGCATTCACTCTTAAGAGATAATTGTAAAACATGTAATGACGATCCTTGTCAACGACTTTTTATCGGATCGAACGATAAGTTTGAGTCGTAAGTATTCCTTCGTTAACGCGTATTTGGTTCAGTTATCGACTCCGAGGCCGGAAATCCTGATATTTTGTGGTTTTCCTCATTAAAAATTTCTCGGCGACCCAACTTAATTATTGCCTGCCGTTGCGAGCATCTCGCTAACAACTATAAATCCGCAGGCTAAAGACTGTTCGTGATGCTTTTCCTTCTGTCTTAGAGATGGAGGCGATGTTTCTTCGACAAGACTGCACGACATCACGGCCCAAACGATCACAAACGACATTTTTGCCACCGTGAATATTCACATTATCTCATATGCAGTGCGTTCACTGCTAAGTTGATCGCAGCTGTGACTTCTGGAACTGCATGACTCACCGCCAATACAAGTATCGCTCCATAAAAACAATAAAATCAACTTCTCTTTTTTAAACATTTCCTGTCGGGAGCTGGGAAGTGACAATCGCTTTCAACTTTATCAGTGAACGCACTGTAAATTGAATGTGTTTGTGGACAGGGTGCTGAGGACAAACAGTATTGAGCTAGCACAGTAGGCTCGAGACAACTGAATGAAGACGAGCGTATTTTTTTCCCCGCCAAATATTGTTGGAGCAACTATTGGACATGTAGCACATTGGTGAAATCAGAAATGCATGTGTTGCCGCAGAAGTATATAATTCGTTGTTTCATAGAATACCAAGTCACTTCCATATAATGTTCCATTTGAGGCAAGAACATGTTTATATACTTCAGCTAGGTAATCCATAAAATAACTAATCGATAACAGGTAATATTTAAAATGAAATTGTGGTTTTTGCATTTTAGGTAGGCAAAGTGAGAAAATATGTTGCTTACGATGCCCGCGTTAGGTTATCTCTGCTTATTAATTTTCATTCCGCTTCAGTTGTATTGTTTATTGTGATAATGTAATTATTCTAACCTGACGTAACTTAACTTAAGCTTAGCTAACCTCGGTTAATATGTGAAATACCTCGTGAATATCTCGTTATTTTTGAACGCCCCTCAGTTACGTCGTGGAATAACTAACAAGGTATTCTCAGAAGTTACTAGTAAGAGTGTATAATGTTCGGCTCATTACATACGTTAATGAAGGTGTTAAGTTAATGTATGAAATACGCACGTTTCCTACGAGGTAACGGGTTTTAACGCATGCAGCGTGCTCGTCTGAAAAAACTGAAGTGCGTAGTGCGTCACGACTTTGTTCCCATACCTGAATTCCTCGCACAATATCCAACCGTGGTCGGTTGGCTGCAACACCCGCTGGTTTGTTGATAAAGAGTGCCCGCCATTTGTTCACCACATCACGTGACAAGACACAGTAAATAATAATTCATTACTGCAACATGTAAGGTCTTCTTTGTGCAGACAGTCGATGACGTAGCGCTTCAATTCCGTTGCTAAAAAATGTTATCGGACCCGACGAGTTGCCACGCCGTACGTTCTCCAATTAGGAGTTTCGAGAAATTGAGGTACCAACTTAGGTGAGTGTAGTTAAGCCAGTGTTTGTGGTTTTATGTTCATTTTAAAAGTTACATCAACAGTTGTCTGTTAAAAAAAATATTGTGGTTTTCTCGTACGTAAGGGGCCACAACGTGTGGCCAATTAAAAGAAGTAAAGTGTAATTAATTAATCTAGTTGTAGCACCAACCCAGCCGGCTAAGAACGCTATACTGTACTCCCAAGTGTCTCATCTGGCGCATCATGGACGTTTTTAATTCAAATGAATTTAGAAATACTTCACACATTTTGGTAAGCAGTGAACCCCTGATTTCGTAGGCCCATGCGTTTTTTTTTTTTAAATAAAGCTTTGGTTGCAAATATCTTGACGTGTTCATGCATATGATGAAATGCAATAAATACTGTGTTTTTGTGATGTTACTGTAGTGTACTTCACGCTTGTCAGTTCCAGTAGTTAAGTGTTATTTATCTTCTTCCCTTTTCAAAGACGTTTCCACTAGTTTATATTCCTGTTTATCCGTTACAGAGCAATAATTTATAATTTTTCCTGTCACTTTCATAATTTGTTTCTCTCCTAAAATGTTTATTTGTTCACTTTTGTATGAATTGTATAACAGTACGAAATTACATTTTATAAACGTGAATCATCGTGGTTGTGGTCTGAAAAAGGACGAGAACCCCTGGCGTGCCTTGGTCATCTAGAAGCAAAGCGCGATCACAGCAAATCGTTCAAGACAACACAGTCATGATCATACCTTACAAGCACACAACTTCTAATATAAAGTGTTACGTCAGTAAAAGGTGGTAGCTGCGTTGACAAGGCCTTGAGGAGTGTAAATCTTGTTCCGTATATTGCACGGACAACTCTTGACATTCTTTGGAAACGTATGAATGTCTGGATGAGTGCGTGCTGGATACCTTTCTGCATAAGCTATGGCTGCAGCGTAGGCCCAGTTACCACAAGCACCAGGGATCAAATAAGTACAAATCACAGTATTCGTGCAACGTGAACTTCATTTTACTTTCCCCTTATTGTTGATGTCTTACGACCACCGATAAGACTGCTTTGCGCTGCTGAGTGTTGATCACTGTCAGCCGTGGTATTGTAGAGTTGTCTTCGTATTTCCTATGCTGTAAGTACGAAAGTACGAAATGAGCTGGTCTTAGATAGGATAGGCGAATGAAGAAGTCTGTGGAAAAATCTTACTAGAAGAAGAGATAGGATGGTGGGACACATTTTGAGACATCTAGGATTGGTTAATTTGGTAATGGAAGGAACAGTTGAAGGGGAGACAAAGATTGGAATATGTGACGCAGATTTTTGAGGATGTGGGCTGCAAGAAATATGTGGAAATGAAGAGATTGTGCTAAAAAATGTTATCGGACCCGACGAGTTGCCACGCCGTACGTTCTCCAATTAGGAGTTTCGAGAAATTGAGGTACCAACTTAGGTGAGTGTAGTTAAGCCAGTGTTTGTGGTTTTATGTTCATTTTAAAAGTTACATCAACAGTTGTCTGTTAAAAAAAATATTGTGGTTTTCTCGTACGTAAGGGGCCACAACGTGTGGCCAATTAAAAGAAGTAAAGTGTAATTAATTAATCTAGTTGTAGCACCAACCCAGCCGGCTAAGAACGCTATACTGTACTCCCAAGTGTCTCATCTGGCGCTTCATGGACGTTTTTAATTCAAATGAATTTAGAAATACTTCACACATTTTGGTAAGCAGTGAACCCCTGATTTCGTAGGCCCATGCGTTTTTTTTTTTTAAATAAAGCTTTGGTTGCAAATATCTTGACGTGTTCATGCATATGATGAAATGCAATAAATACTGTGTTTTTGTGATGTTACTGTAGTGTACTTCACGCTTGTCAGTTCCAGTAGTTAAGTGTTATTTATCTTCTTCCCTTTTCAAAGACGTTTCCACTAGTTTATATTCCTGTTTATCCGTTACAGAGCAATAATTTATAATTTTTCCTGTCACTTTCATAATTTGTTTCTCTCCTAAAATGTTTATTTGTTCACTTTTGTATGAATTGTATAACAGTACGAAATTACATTTTATAAACGTGAATCATCGTGGTTGTGGTCTGAAAAAGGACGAGAACCCCTGGCGTGCCTTGGTCATCTAGAAGCAAAGCGCGATCACAGCAAATCGTTCAAGACAACACAGTCATGATCATACCTTACAAGCACACAACTTCTAATATAAAGTGTTACGTCAGTAAAAGGTGGTAGCTGCGTTGACAAGGCCTTGAGGAGTGTAAATCTTGTTCCGTATATTGCACGGACAACTCTTGACATTCTTTGGAAACGTATGAATGTCTGGATGAGTGCGTGCTGGATACCTTTCTGCATAAGCTATGGCTGCAGCGTAGGCCCAGTTACCACAAGCACCAGGGATCAAATAAGTACAAATCACAGTATTCGTGCAACGTGAACTTCATTTTACTTTCCCCTTATTGTTGATGTCTTACGACCACCGATAAGACTGCTTTGCGCTGCTGAGTGTTGATCACTGTCAGCCGTGGTATTGTAGAGTTGTCTTCGTATTTCCTATGCTGTAAGTACGAAAGTACGAAATGAGCTGGTCTTAGATAGGATAGGCGAATGAAGAAGTCTGTGGAAAAATCTTACTAGAAGAAGAGATAGGATGGTGGGACACATTTTGAGACATCTAGGATTGGTTAATTTGGTAATGGAAGGAACAGTTGAAGGGGAGACAAAGATTGGAATATGTGACGCAGATTTTTGAGGATGTGGGCTGCAAGAAATATGTGGAAATGAAGAGATTGACGCAAGATGGGCGAAAATGGAGGACCGCATCAAACCAGTCGAAAGACTGATGACAAACATGTCAAGTCCTATGACCCCCTTGGGCCTCCTACAGAGGGATTAATGTATTTGCCCCATTTGACTGTAAAAATTCGGTCTAGATAAAAGTGTAGGTGTATTGGACTCGTATAACGTTGGTGATTATTACTGTAGTGATACAGGAAGTTAGAGTTCAGTGGTTGAGAAAGAAAATCCTATATACAATTACAAAATTATACACACGTAGAGTCAAACTGTTTCTCTCTTTATTTAGTTAAATCTTCGCCATATCAAATATTATTCTGAATAAAATTTATGGACCTTAATGAGACCTGTCGGTTATTTATATGAAAATATATAATGTATTTGAGAAAACTGATATGTTCTCATTTGATCTTACTGTAAAGTAGGGGTTGTATTGGGCTGGTATGGACCAGCATTGTTTAATCTTTGACCCACTGATACCAGTTTCAGTTGGTATCCAACAGGTAATTTTTGAGATGAAACATTGCTAAAGATAGTCTCCATATGTTTTCATTTTATGCCCTTTGTGCAGAGACCTTGAAAATTTGCCTTTTTCCACATACCTGTTCGCCATGATTATGCGTCTATTCCGATCTTATTTTTTATTTAAAAATGTTTCCTTTGTTTTCAGGACACTGCTGCTTGCAAAAATGTGGCATCACAGTATTTACAGATTCAGGACAAACTACCAAAATTTGCCAATGTGGAACTTCACAGTCCAGGTATTGTTGAACAAGCAGTTTGTATGCAAGATACGCAGTTAATGCTGCTGCTTATTTTTCTTTCTATGACCAAAAAGTTAGGCCAATAACTGACCTGTTTTAGATTCAACATTGTAATGGACTAGTAGTCTCTTTAATGGTCATCTACATCAGAATCGTCTGACTGATTAGTAGTCATGTCATTTTGGGTGTCTAATATTTTTTCTCCCTTCCGACATGTTGTAATCAGTTTAGTTCGTACTGTGCTGTTTTTATTCAGTGCATATCAAAATCTTCTAAAATATCCTAATTTCTTCAGTGGTCTTATATAAACTGTATCCTGCTGTGCATCTTATGAATTTCATCTCCGCTGTCTGATATTTTTATATCCCTTTGTTTCAGTGTTCAGATTCATAGCCATATAATTATGATGGGTTGCTAATTTAAATCGGGATTGCCTTTGAACTAAATTTGGTTTCATAACATTGTTTACAATTTGTATAATTTCCAAAAAAAATCACCTGTTTTTTATTTATGCCCTTTTTCTCTTTATAATATTTTATATTTACAAATTTACTTATCCTAAAAAGTTTTATCAATCACAATTTTGCTTCTATTTGGAATATGTTTTTTAAATTCCTTCAGATTTTAGTGGAGGTATTTCTATTTCAGTCTGTTTTTGCACATGTGTATAAATTATTATACAAGAGGTACATTATACTAAACAGTCAATAATATGTTAGGTTATTTAGTTACTTATCCACAGAAAAACTAAACACATACCATATCAACTTTTCCCTATGGACAGGCTAAATATTCTATACCAATAATGATAGTTTAATTGATAAAGATTGTTGATTGAATTATATTGCCATGTAAGTAGTTATTTTACAAAATTTACTTGATATATTGATAAAATCTTTATCTTAACTCTTTTCTACTTAATTTAAATGCACTTTGTGTCATGGGGTTTGTGTACAGCTAGAACTGTAAAGAGTTTAAAATCCTACATAATCTGACTGGAAGTTTTTGTAAGTGTGTTTGAGGTTTGGGGGGTGGGGGTTTCCACCATTTTCTGATCTTTATTTGTTATGTACTGGGTGCACTTTCTTCAGCATGTCTGTTATGTAGTAAAGTGTGTTTGTATGGAATAAATACATTGTATAATATTGTGAATTGTGAAACTGTGTGCGTTGTCTGAAAAGAAATTGCATTGAAAAAGATGTGAAATTGTTACGTAGAATACTGCTGCTTATTTGACATTCAGTCGGCCACCTTCGAGCTCAGCACTTGTGTAGAACATAACTTTCTGTTTAAATAATGTTGTTGACTCAAGGAGGAAATATGTACACATGACCTTCTTTAATGTATGGCAAGTTAGAACTTATGTTCTTAAATAATTGATCATTTTAGACTAGGTTCTTAAAGGAAACTTTGCATGGATGGTAAGTTACTTGTGCTGTTCGTATATCTTGTCATATGAATGTTTCAAAACGTTTGAAACCCAGTTTTTCACGTGTGTCAATGAAGGTTACATCATCATGGTTTTCCTTAATAATACCAACAAGTAGAATAAGCCATTTTAAAGTGGCAATAATGCTGATAACAATGCATGGAGAGCTGTCACAGTGGCTGCATGGCCTGAGGAGTGGGCCTTGTGCCACTTGGTCACTGGGATCGTGGGCTCGAATCCCGCTCAAGGCATGGATATTTGTCCACGTCTTTCTGTGTTATGCTGTCCTGTGTACAGGTAGAGGCCTTGTGACAGGCCGATCACTCGTCCAAGGAGTCCTACCAATTATCTAAGATCAAATCTATGAAAAGTTGGGACCCGCAGATGCTCAGGCACTGAAGGACGGGTCGTATAAAAATTAAAAAAATGTATGGAGAAATCTAATCTTTTGTAAATAATTAAACTTTTATATTCATAATTTTTTATTAGAATAGATGACAGAGCCCTCCAGTGGCATTAATTGCAAATTCTCATTTGTTATGCTGTAGTAATTGATGTATGTTAATGAGCTTGGCAAGCTTGACTATGGACTGGGTAACCAGGGTTTGATTCCCCAACTAGATATCTTCCCACCACCTTGGCCAGACTGGCTTTGGGCCAAAATAAACGTACTGTTCTCATACTGGGGGCTCTCTCTGTAGTTATAAAGTTGACTGGTTGTGGTTTATGATATATACTTTTAGTAGAGCTGCCCACTACATGGAATGGAGGGGGTGGGGGGAAGCTCCTTATTCTTGACCTGAACTTTATATGAGGTTTAGTGGTCAGCATTACATTCTTGCTGCACTTGTCTCTGGGGGGGAGGCCCCTGGTACCTATTGGGCAGGCACCAGAGCCATTCTGGATGCAGAGGCTGGAAGATAAATTATTTACCCCTGCTGGGGATTGAACCCTGATAGCCCAGTTTGTAGTCAGACACTATATTTTGCTACTCTGAATCCTAATCTGTACCTTCCCTGTGTGGTATTTGGATCAAAGACTAGTTGTATAATTTGAGTGTGGGAAATAAGAAATGCACACAGACATTTGGTAAAACACAATTAATTAGCCTAATGGGTTTCTTTTCTGTATTATCTATCTTTGTTTGCTCATTAAAAATTAATTTATATGTTCATAACGAAAGATTTGACTCATTACAGATGCAGCTCCAGACAGTCCTAATGAAGTTCTGGATGTATTACAAAGTGCAAAACAAGAATTGAAAGAGAAATCACAACTTGTATTGTTGTTAAAGGAACAGCTTGAAAGCCTCCAAACTGAGAAACAGCATGTAAGTTGAATTAGTTTTCAACTTATTTAAAGTAAAGAAATTATATTTATTTAATTTGGGGACCATGTCCAAAAGATTAACTGGAATCAATCAATTTTGTATATGCAGCTTGATTGTGGTGTGCTAATATCCACTATATGCTACATTGTTTAACATTGATTTCTTATAGTTGTATTGGTTCAGATCTAATTTTATGGATCAGATATTACATAACATTTGAGTTTCATTGATCAGTATGGTCCATATTGTATGAATGTTTCTTCTTATAGTTCTACATTTACATTTCGAACACAAACAGAATGGTGCAGGAGAAAATTATGTTGAATCTTCATGATTGCAATCATTACCTATTATTGTTGACTTCATTAAATCAAGAATTCTGAAAAGAATTGAACATGTAGCTTGGATAGGGTAAGCAAGAATGGTGTAAAATGTATGGTTGGAATACTTATAAAAGGAGATGAATTCATGGTCCTGAGTGGTGGCTCTGGTTAGGATCCATTGGAGCAGAGGTAACCAACATTTTAGGATTTATGGGCCAGTAACAAAACAACAGTGGGCATACTGGGGCTGAGCCTTTCTAGTCTGATTTACATTCTGTGGTGCGAATAATAGCATATAAATCTAAATATTACTAGCATATCTATACATGTTTATTTACAGTGTAAAATTTAGTGTCTTATGTGGCATATTAAAACCCCTCAAGTTGGACACCACTTTATATTGGACATTTTTAATTGGAACCGGTGAATATCCTATAATTTTACATGTCCACAATACCATATATCTTGGATACCCCTTTATTATGGAACTTGAACTCCCCTTTTGTTGTAAGTTGGACAGGTTCATGCACTTATCTTTGATGCTTTTCAGGGAAACTTTTTCAGTTACATATTTTGTTATTTTGAATTTCTGACTGATGAATGCCTCCTCCAGAGGATTATATTATGGACACTGAACCCATCGGAATGCATCGCAAGTGTTTAACTATTCTTTTGCTGAACCCTTAACTGGACTACAGTATTGCAGAAGACACAGTTTTAACTCCATCAGTTCTGCGCTTGCATTTGAGTTCAGACTGTGTTAACAGAAATGGAAATTTTCTTTTTGCGATGGGGAAGCGAAAATCGGTGGAATTAACTTTAGAAAATGTTATTGAGGCTGGGGTGTAATGTGCAATGCATGGGAGTGGGCTTCAAAAGATTATTATCAATACTACTGTCATTAATTCTTAATTCAAGTAAGCCTACAGCAGTTAGTGTATGTAAGTAAATAGATTATATTGTCATTAGACCACAATCTGATTTTTGTCTTTCCATCTATCTTGGACACCTCTGTAAGTTGCACACATTTTCGTGGAACCCCAAGTGTCCAACTTAGAGAGGTTTTACTGTATTAGATTAATCAGGTGGATATATAATGGAATAAAGATAATTGTAATTTATTTACCCCTGAAGAATTCCTTGCAAAAGACTAGCAATGTTCAGTGCAAACTATTTCGTCCCAGTAATAGGAATAGAAGATGAAAAATATCTATGATTATGAAATATACATGTAAAGTAATTGTGCTTTTCATTTGCAGACTGGTATAAATTAAGCTGTAGACTGGCACTAGTAAGGAAACTGCATTTGATCATTTGTGGTATTCTGTTGAATTTGTGTAATAACATGGGTTCAGAATAGGAGTTATTTGTAGTTAGTAACTACTGATTGTTAATAGAATTCCATGTACCAGTGACTGACGCATACATGCTGCACACCTTTGGTATTTAATGTCTGAATGATACGAGCAGTAAAACATCTAAAATGTAACCTGGATTAAATATTACTTCAGGTCGTGAGAATATGGACAGATAAATTTGTATAATGCTACTTGTGATAAGTGGAAATTGTTTAATATGAAAACAGAAAGTAAAAGCAAGAATAAACAGAAAATAGTAAGCTTGAATCTTTATTGTTTTCTGTTCTTGGAATATATCTGAAAAGTATCATTCTTATCGGGAATAAGAAAGAATTAAACCCAGTTGTCAACAAAATATTGTTTATGCAGAATATTTTTATGTACTGCTGAACTAAGTAAATGGGAAACAGAGAATGAAGGAAATAAAAAGCTGAAAATGTGTATTAGTAATATATAGTGTATTTATAGTTTTGGTCATAAGTAAGTATGATTGATGTGTATAGTGCAGTATTTCTTGTCTAGCAGTAAGTACCTCAGGTAAACAAAGACCTGTCTGATACTGATACATGATCTGGCTGTGAAGGATTCCATTACACTTTTCTTCTTCTTCTTTCCAAGACAGGACAAAATTACATGAAAGAAATATTTAATTTTTTTGTTGTACAGATGTTATGACATCATGGTAAAGTCCATTGAATTCTGGACGATTCAAGTTTTTAAGTAGTTAATTTTTCTGTGTTTAGATCAGCACAAGATGCACTTACTTGGAGCAGCAAGTGCAGAGGCTATCGAGACAGCTTGAGAATGAGTCAGAGAAGCGAACAGCATCTGAATTGAGTGAACTTGAACAACTTCACAGCCAGTTGAGAGCTACCACTGATCAGCTGGCACAGACAAGAGATGAGAATACAGGAGTGTTAAAAGAACAGTTAAATGGTACTGTGCTTGTCTGTGTGTTTCACGTATATGCCCAAATTTATTGCAATTTCTTTGGAACATAGGATTGTTATGCTTATTCTGTAGAATTAACAGTTACATTGAAGTTGTTTCTTGAACCATTTTGATTTATTCTTTCGATCATAATATATTTTTTTTCCATTTATATTATTATCTGATTTTAACCAAAATTGGAATGTGTGGACATATTTGATTAATATTCTCCAGTATAAAACTTAATGAAGAAGCATTCTGTTATTCTCAAGTTTTTGTGTGACAGATTTTGCAGACACATTTTTGCACCTCCATTGTGGTTGTCTTAGAATGCTGTCTTTTATTTATTTGTATGTGCTGATCTGGGTTAATGCAGTCTGTAAAGTGGCTGGACATTTTCTCTTTGTCTTCATGTCCACACCAGCTGTTGGTCTCACCCAGTCTTCTATCCAGTGGTTACTGGATACATGGTGCTGAGATTAATAAGAATGATATTATAACTTCATGCTGTCTACATGTATTTATTGCATGGTGCTGAGGCACAGGGCTTTTTCACTTCTTTGTATGTACACGTGGTCAGTTAGATATACGAGAGCAGATAGGAATTTATTTCACAAAGCTGTAACATCAAACCAGCATACTACACTCAGGATTGTAGTCCATATTGGAGTCTAACATAATTGTCATTTACATTTGCACATTGAGATACTTATCCTGCTCGTATACGTGTTTGTTTATGCCATCTTGGAGAATCTGTGTGTCTGGACCCCTACCCTTGTTGCTTGAAACAGTTGTTGCGGCTTTCTGTGGGCAGCTACCGCCAGATATTGAATACCATGTGAACCTCTGCCCCCCTTGTTTATGTTGCCATGTTCACTGTTCATATCTAAATTAAGACTTGTCTGAAATCCATTTGTGAAAGTACCTATCTGATCTACCCTTGTAATTTTCAGTCGTAAAAGAAATCAGTATATAGCTTGAACTGTGAATGAGAGGGCAAGATAAATATATTTTCAGTAACATTACTGAACATTAGAATATGTTGGTGCATGTGGCCAATGTTGCTATGTGAGAGATACGTTGTTCATAGCACAGTAAGAGGTGAGGTGTCTTGTTTATTGTTGAATTCACTGCTTGACATTGTCCACAGCTGCTGAATGCAGGATTGAGGAACTTGAGAAAGAATTGCTGAAAGTACATCAGCAGATGTTGGAACACCTCAGTGACTCACAGGTACTTAGCATAACAATTTAATAGATTACAGCTGAGTGTAAGTTATCGTTTGGCTTGTCACACTGTAGACATGGAGGTGATAGTTCCTCCGACTTGTTGGTAACCACCTAAAAGACTCCAGTGTCACAAGACAGAAGACCATATTTGACATCTGTACCACTATGAGAAGGTATTGTAAGGGTATAATGTAGTAAATATATTATGAGTTAGCATTCTGGGCTTGGGTGTAGATAGTCATATCATCTGTTTCCACCTGGGTCACATTTCTTTATTATTCTTTGCAAGTGTAAATGTTGCAGAATATTATTACTATAATTTTTATCTGTTATGTTTTTAGGAAGAAATTGTAGGACTTTGGATGTAATCTCACTGTTTTGAACTGTTGTAATGTTAGTGACTGTTGATTTACTGATAGTTACTGATGACTAGTTCGTGTATTAATTCATATGTTTATGATCTATGTTCATATAAAATTTGACTTGCTTACCTCCAGTGCTCTCCTAGTTATTACCATCAATCCAAATGCTGAATACAGATTTCATGCAACTGCCATGTCCATCTATCCAATCAATCTATCTTGTGTTCATGTATGAACCATCTACTTGTACAACACCCCTCATTTCAGCCTTGATGATGGAGAAAATATGTTCCATTGCAACTTTGGTTATGCAAACCATTTCCTTGTAGATGTCAGAGTAGTATTAAATTGTATTTTAAGAAATTTGGAGTGAGGCTGTGGACTGGATGAAGACAAATCTTGCTCAGTCTAGGATCCACATGATAATGAATGAATCTTCAGGTTTCATAAAGAGCAGGATATTTCTTGACCAGGACTCTACACCATGGAGTTGGTTCAGAAGAAATTGATTATTATATGTTATTCTTAGATGAACACGAGTGAAATCCGAGGGGAAGTAGAGCAGACTAGATGGCAGCTGCTGCAGGAATCTGGAGTTCAGAAGACCGAGTTGCTCAGGGCTCGTCAGGATATGGTGAATCGGATCATCCAAATGGGAGAAAAGGTACTTCTTTAGTTAATTTTTCAGCTTGTACATGTGCAAAAGAAACTCGTGGAAACAATAATTCCTTGTTATGATTTTGTCAGGAATTGATAAGTGTTTGTAATATCACTTTTACATTCTGTGCACAAAGTATTATATAAAGTATAGTGGTATGGTTTTATATGTTTCATCTCTCCATCTACTGAATAAATCTTGGTTAAATTTGGTATTGTTTACACCAAAGTTTGTTTGGTGGTTTTGGTTTATTTGAGACCAGTGTAAATACTCTTAACATGAAGTTGAAATCAAACTTTCATGTTTCTCAGAAATATAAATATCTTAAAGTATTGCATTTACTTAAAAGCAAGAAATAATAATATATGGTTGTGTGTATGGTGTGCGTCTTGTGATGAGCTCAGCATCAAAATATTTGTATGTGCATGACATTAATATGAAAGCCATAAAACCATGCTAAATTGAAAATAATACATCTACAAAATATGTTTTCTCCAGATCAGAGTATATCTGTCCACTCTTGTTAATAAGCTTATGAGTAAGTTTTTATGTGGGATATTTACCAGTTCACACACAACTCTCAACTAGACCATTCTTCCAACTAACTGTGCATTTTCGTAGGGATGACAAATTTACTCTCTCACAGCGATAAATATGAAGGTGGGTGTGTGCTGGGTTGTAGTGTCATGTAGTCTGGTAGAACTTCACCAACATTTCTACCATATTGTATGGTGCTATAATCCAGAAGACATACATCATCAAAAAATATCTTTGTTCTGATTGCTGGAGGTAGGCTGAGTATATAACATTGCAGTATTTGTATTTTGTAGAGCCGAGAGGTAGAGATGAACATGAAGAAGCTGCAGTTAGATGGCAAACACTTGACTGCAGATATTTTAGCTATCATCCACAAACTGGGTGATCCAGAACAGCAGGAGATTATTCATGGTGAGCATAGTCACAAACCACTGATCTGTTGCTAGTAATTGATTGCCAACACGCAAGCTGATGAAAGAAACTCGTTAACATTTTCATATACTTTGTGAGACTCGGTGCAACATTTTCAGAAATAATGTGCCAGTCTGATGGAGTTAATCCAACAAACTTGGCAATCTTAAAACAAGAAGGCATTAATGGCTTGTCATGTGCTGTTGGATTTAGTCCATTTGGAAAATCAACATACTATTAATATTTTAAATTCAAACATAATAATTTGAACACTGCAATATATGTCAAAATAAATGTATTTGAAAGGATTAGAATTTCAAAGGATGTGTGGGACAATGTTTATGTAGCTTGAGAGTTTGAAACAGAAACTAAAATTTGCAGACTTTGGAAATGGGTGATCCTGCCCATCACAAAAAAGTGCTGTCCAGTATGAGATTTGTCATATCCAAAATGGTACTGAGAAAGCTGTGTAAGGAACTCTGCAATTTGCCACTCTCTCAGACTTCCATCCTAGATTTTTTATTTTATGCTTCAGGCATGTAGAAATTAATTTTCCTGTGACAGGGTGAGTTATTTTTGTAATGTCATTCTAGTTGCAAATGGTAAAACTTTTGTCTGGAAGTTTTCACTGAAATATGCCTCACTTCGATACTTTACAGTTCGTAATATGAAATTAAAGGAATTTGTATATATTTTAACTGAACAAGAATTGTGTGTCCAGAAGGTCCAAGATTCAGCACACAAGGCTAGTTAACATAACAGAATCCTTTATTTTCTCCTTGGAAATTCTAAGTTAATACACGCAATAGATCAGTACCTGCATCCTTTCTGAGCCTTTTGGGCTTTACTATTTTGTTGATGCTGTCTGCCATAGGCATTTATGGTTGCTCCTACCTTGCTGATAGAAATTAATTCTTTTTGTCACGTACAGAAGTTAGTGCACCTTGTTTTTTTGTGCCACATTTTTGAATTACCTCAGAATTTGTCTATTACCCACAAAGTTTGTGTGAATTGAAAATTAAATGTGGATTTACTGTCTCTAGGACATCCCTTATCAATGCCAGTGATAGGTAGTCAGCCAACATGCTGCGATTCTACTTGCCCTGATATTGCTTTTCCATCATTGATGTTTCTTGATGAAAGAATTTCCCCCTGCTTATTACTGACAGACAGCAAGAGAATATTTAAAAGTCTTCAAGAGATACAATACATGTATGCAAAATGTTTCATTTTTGTAAGGTTCAGGGTCTTTCTTGGTGTGCTGATTAACAACTCTGAACATATGCTCCCATTATAGAGCCATGCTTACAAAAGCCCATGGATTGTATCATTACCTAGTCCTACCCAGTTCACATTTTTGCATTGTGTATATATTTGTATTATAGGTCACCCAACTTGTCTTTTCTGCTGGGTGTTTCCAAGCAAAATCTTCTATTAATTTCTTATTTCTTCCCATGTGTTCTGTGTCTCTCGTCCATCTCATTCTTTATTAAGCCTTACAGAAATAAAAGGGTTTGTAATGTTATAATACTTCTGGCATTACCATCCGAATATATTTAACGACTTTCAAGGTCCAAGCTATTTCAGGAGGAGATTCTTAAATATTAATTTTATAGACTGGATGTAAATAGTTCCATTCTTTTGTAAACTTTGTGTTTTATTTTATGATTTTTTTAATGTTAATGTTGTTAATTGGGTTTTCAGGTGTGTTAAAGGCTTTGGAACTTGAAAACCAAGTTTTGAAGTTAAGAAATGCTCAGCTAGAATTGGCCGGGAATACAGAAACTCTGAAAGGTTGGTTTGATGTCTTTGTAATAAATTTCCGATTTGAATCTGTTACAGTAATGCATCTTCAGTGAAACCAATACATATACTTACCTTTAATTACATCCCACCGTCTTTATTGGTGCAGCCAATAAATCACTTGTGTACGTTAATGTAGAGGAAAGTCAGATTTTTACTGAATGTCTGATAAGTGATTGCCTTGAAATCTTGCATGTTACAAAGAAATGATGTGACAAACTTCATTTATTTAACCTGCTGACTGACCAACAGCTCTGGTAATTGACCAAAAACTTCAACATTTCTTATATCAGAGTGCCTTGTTGGATTATCCTTATCAATACAGAATTTTTGATTTGGAAATTTCTTCAACAATGGCCATTTGGCTTAGACTAAAATAAGGAAAACTGGATTTTTTGTTTTTCAATGCAACGTAAATCATATATTTCTGTTCTTTTGAGGTAGTAATGACTCACAGTCATGTAACTGTAGTGGACATGGAGATTTTTGGTTAAATATAAAGTTATAAGTAATTCTTATAATTTCATTAATTGGTTGAGTAACGCTGTTCTTAAATTGTTGCAGGAAACAGTTATGAATCTAATAGTAAGGCTGATTTCCATTTTGGGGATGATGAAAAGAAATTGCTTTGTGGAGATAACATGGACCTTAACTCTAAATATTCGGATACCAGTAGCAAGAAGACAGATGTGAGTATATCCTTACACAGCAAAACCGTACATGATTTGAGAAAGAGAAAAGTATCATTTGAGAAAAGCACTGACAGTAGCAGTAAATGTTTTTCAGTGCTTGTCCTGGTAAGTGCTTTTCTCTTTTTCTTTCAATTAATCGTTTTGTAAGGATGTCCCACCCTTTGTTATGCATTATTATGTTTTCAGGATTTCGAGACAGAGTCCTTAAAATCGGAAATATCAGAATTTTCACTACTGAAACAGAAGTTGGATTCTCAGATATCCCAGCTTCAAATGAAAGCTGAAATGTATGAGAGAGACATAGAATGCTTTGAAGCGGTAAGCAGCACCTTTTCCTTGGGGAATGAAGAAATAAATACTTAAAACTAAGGGCTTCATGGAAACTGCTGAAACCAGTCATCCAGTATTATTTGTCAGCACCAATAGTGGTTTTTTAATAGTTTAAAAGCAGTACATCATTGTTTAATAATACTGCAACCATCAAAAACAATAACAACTCACCAATATTTCTACTAGAATGAGTCATCCTATAACCAAGCCATTTTTTGTCTTCTCTGCCCTCCCATAACTACCCTTATATGTATCCACACTTTTTCTACTTTTGGGTAGCTTCCCAAACTTAATCTCTCCACCACAGCCTTCATTTCCCAAGTGATGATTTATTCAACATTTTCATATGTGAAACTCTGAAAAAAATTGTTCATTATCCATATATATCACAGTCCCATGCCGTTGTATCCTTCATTTTATCAATTTTTGATGTGTTGTTGCCAGATTTTTCTAATGTCCTGGTTTTGGATTGTATCTCCTTGTTTTTCTCTTCATATTCTATAGTAATCTTCAGACTCTTTATTCTCTGTGGTTCTATGTACAGTGTTTTGTAAACCAACCACCTTTGTAGTGATTTCATATCAACTTGTAATCTACTTGTGTCTGTGATTAAAGTATTTAATAATGTTTTTCTATAATCATTGGCATCTCAGTAGGTTTTCCTGCAAATGGATAAACTTGATGAGCTCATTAACAATTTTTTACAAATTGAACAGTTTAAAATCATTTGATGCATTTAAATCTTGCAGTTTGAGATGTTGAACCCACAGCTTTTCAAATCAAGACATGATGTTTCCTCCTTTGGTATGAGATTTACATGTTTCTGCTACTACCAGTGGCTCTTTTCTTTTTAAGAGGTGATAATATTCAGTATTATATTTTAGAGGTACAAAATTATATTATTCTGACTAACAACTTTTATCTTTGTAGATGAAGTCTGACTGGACTGTGGAAAAGAAGGTGCTGGAACAGCATTTATCTGATTTGAAGGAACAGTTGAAAGAAAAAGAAGAAGAATTAAGTCTTGTTACTGCACAGAAGGTTTGTGTGTGTTTTTTCAGTTGCTTTTATCTCTTTTGTACAAGTTTTAACAGCTGATTTTTTTTGACGTAAATACGTCTATACGGAAGGGTCTTTCGGCAAAAGAGCGTAACGAAGATGTGAAAGATCCATACCAACAATGTGTAAATATGGACTGACAGTGGTCAGCTTGCGTGCATTGTTGTTACCTAAGAAACTAATTGTTACATCATATGTTTACTCTGCATTGTTGTGTTATATTACTACCGTCAACAATCCGTTATTGCGGAAAGAGCTGAGCTGTGAATCGCTTGTAGAAGAAGTGTGTCGTAGAGTAGATAATATTGTACTGTTAAAAATGTTTTAGAAAATCACAAGTACTTTTATAAGAATTATTACATTACAATACATTACATTCAGCTACCACAGACCCATCTTAAGCATAACTAATTGAAGTTAAATAAGCAATGTCTTAATCAAACTATTTACTCAATTGTAAAGCATGTATATCCTTTATACAGAGACATATTTACGTCAGATTCTCCGGAAACATGGTTCCACTGTCAATTTTTAATGTAAGATTGGTTTGAGTTTAAAATTTTACTGACAGTCCTATAAATATTTTATAAAATGTTATTAAGAATGTATTTATGCAGGTTTGTAAGTGTATTCTGAGCTAACTTATCCCTTGTTATGCCCCAGGGATTGATGGAGGCAAAGAAGCAGGCATTTGTTCAAAATGGCAGATCTGAAGAACACTTGGTGCTGCAGGACAGGGTAGAAGAGCTGAGTGTTCAGTTGATGCAGGTCCAGGAAGATAAAGAACAGCTTCATCAAGGAAAGGTATACCTGTCTGCAGCTTTTAGGATAGAGTATCTTTATAATTAAATTAAATTCATTTATTTAAGTGCTTGACAACAGCCAGATAACGCCAATAACAGCCAAGCAGTGAACAACAGTACACGATAAAATAAAATATAATAATTACATTCATTTCAATAATAATAAAAGTAATACATTATAAATACAAAAACAAACAAATGAAACTAAATATATAAATGTACCATAATAATAATAAATCAGTTCATATATTGAATAATAATTCACAAGTAAATGCTAATAATAATAATAATTTATTTACATTCCATGGATCCATAAGACAGTCAGATGACAGTAGGATGTGGAAAAAGTCATAATAATAATACAAAACATATAAAGTACAATTCATACTATTATATAAATTTCACATAATATAAAACAGGGTTCAGCTAAAGAAATGATAAGCTACAAATACACAGTGTCCATAAAAAACCTTTACAACTTCAAGACTTGATAGAAAATTAATGAGTCAAGATAACTGGATGGGGTTTGTTGCTTATTAAACAGTGTCTCTCAAAGTTTTATGCACGTAAGTCAATACACCTCTACATGTGCGCCCTTAGTTGCACGCAGCACATCAAGCCAATACTCGATTTCCCTCCATGTTCGCTTTGTTGGGCGAACGACAAGGTGGCCACGGTATTGGACCATCTCTCCCAATCCACCTATCAGGAAACTGTTCGTTAAGGTAACTACGAACCGCCAAGCCCCTGTGGGGTGTTGCTCCATCCTGCTGGAAGATGACATGTTGTCGAATGTCCTCCAATTATGGGACAGCAAATTCCGTCAGCATGTCCAGATACACTGGCTGTGATTGTTTTTTCGGCGAAGAAGAATGGCCCAATTATTCGGTCACACATGAGTCCGCACCACATGTTAACTTTCGGGCTATCGCGCAAAAGTTCTCTGGCCGCATGGGGGTTTTCGGATGCTCATATCCTTACGGTGTGCCTGTTAAATAACCCCGACACATGGAACATTGCTTTGTCACTAAAGAGAAGACGCTCAAGGAAGCCTTCCTCGATGCCAATTCGAGCCAGCATTTCGACAGCAACTGTGTGGCGTGGCTCATGATCTGGCTCAAGAGCTTGCACCACCTGCACTTTGTATGCGTACAGTCTCAGATTCTTGTGCGGAACTTTGTGGATGGTCAAACGTGGCAACTCCAATTGTCTGGCGGAGGTGCGAATGGACTTTCCAGGGCTACGAACAAATGCACCATGCACACGTTCAATATCCGCTACGCTTGTGCTTGGTCAGCCACTGCCTTTTTGCTGCAGAACACTGCTAGCCTCCATAAATTTCCTGTGACACTCACGAATTGTGGGTCTTGATGGCGGTTCCCTTCCATATTTGGTCCTGATCTTGTCTCAATAAACCAGGATACACATTGTGCCTTCTCCTGTGGAGTAGCCATTTCCTGTAATGTTAAATGTCAGTCGACATGCACACCTGCAATTAACAAAAGTTATGTTATTAACACTAAACAAAATTCTGTTAAAAACTTTGAGAGACGTTTAACATGCAAAAAATATCCAGTTATCTTGTCTCATTATTTTTTTATTTAGCGTTGAAGTTGTAAAGGTTTTTTATGGACACCCTATAGATCTACCCATTACACACAGAAGAAAGTTTATCACTTATTTGTAAATAACATAAATTCATTGACAGAGTAAAAGGAGTGTGTAATTAAGTATCTTTTTAATGCTACCTTAAATTGCTCCTTATTTACAAGACTTGTGAGACTTGATGGTGGGCTATTGAAAATTTTGATTCCTGCATTAAATGCACTCTTCTGAAAACATGAGAGGTTGGCAATTGGTCTATGAAGCTGATTGTTATTCCTTGTGTTGACATGGTGTACAGCAGAATTAGTTTTAAAGAGTTCTTGGTTATTTACAATAAAGTTAATTATGAGAATATGTATTCACAAGGTACAGCTAAGATCTCTAATCTCTTAAATAGACTTCTACATGAATTTCTAGGTTTTACACCAACCAATAATCTATTAATTTTCTTCTGTAAAGTGAATTTTTTTTACTGTTTGATGAATTACCCCAAAAAATTATTCCATACTTCATTATAGCGTGAAAATAGGCAAAATATACTGATCTGAGTGTGTCAGTGTTACTGACATGCAACAGAGATCTAACTGTGTAACATGCACCACTTAACTTAGATATCAGTTTATCAATATGATTTGTTCAATTTAGGTGATTATCAATTTGCAAACCCAAGAATTTTGTATTTATTTACTCTTGTATATACTTACCATTATAACCAATACTTAAGCGTATTGTGGTGAGTTTTTTGTTATAAATTTTATTATATTCGTTTTATCTAGATTTAGGGCCAGCTTGTTAGCAGTAAACCATTTACTCATATGAGACAGAACTATGTTTGATGTTGAATAGAAATCATCAAAATTTTTATTAGAAATTATGACACTTGTGTCATCAGCAAATATTATGGGTTCTGTTAAAGTATTATTGTTTTTATTGTTGGAGGAAGGTCATTTATGTATATTATAAAAAGCAAGGGCCCTGAAATTGACCCTTGGGGAACTCCATGTTTTATTGTTCCCCATTTTGAGAACAAATTTCATTTGTTTTTAGGTGCTTTTACTTCGACCTTTTGTTTTCTATCTGTTAAATAGGATCTGAACCATTGCGCTCCTATTCCTTGAATGCCATAAAAATGTATTTATCCAACAAACTTTCATGATTTACACAGTCAAAAGTTTTTGCTAAATCACAGAAAATTCCTTCAACATGCATTTTTGGTTAACAGATTTTAGCACATTGTCTGTTAGTTTGAAAGCTGCATCTTCAGTGGATACACCTTTCCTGAAGCCAAATTCTTCTGGGATAATATGTTGTTTGTATGCATATGATGACTTGATCTATTGTACATAATCTTCTCAAGCACTTTAGAAAAAGTAGTTTTAAGTGAAATTGGCCTGTAATTTGTCATACTGGTTTTGTCACCTTTCTTGTACAGCAGTCGTACTACTTTGCTATCAATATTTCTTTCCTGTGCTGCCACCATTGATGAAGTCACGATTTCCATTTCTCTTTTTTCACTGGTCAGTATTGTATTTGTTTTGTCTGTAAAATAGCAGTGAAGCAATTCATTTGGACAAGTGTTACCAGATTTTGCTTCAGATTATTATTGTTCTGTTTACAAAATGTAACACCTCCCTTTGTGCATCATGTTTTCTTTCTCAGTCAAGTGCTCTCAAGAATAAGTTTAACTGTTTTAGTTTTGTCATGATGTGAAGTGTATGTTGTTAGAAATGTGTAGTGCTCGCTTTGTGAAGCATACAAATAGACATTTGCTAAGAATAAAAATCAATGAATTGTTGTTACTTTGAATATATTTGTGTCTATTAAAAGTAAACATTCTAAATAAAATATAAGTTTGTTCAAAACATTTATAGACTCAAGATGTTTATGAAATTAGTGATTGAGCAGTTAACACTTTTCTTGTATCTGGGGCTTTGAATTATGTCTGGACTGCAAGCTATGCTGATCAAAGTGTTAACTCTGTATCTCTTGGTGAATGTCAGAACTGTTTTCATCAAATTATGTTCACATGTATAGTTTTTCCACTACCAATCAGCACCATGAAATACAACTTGCCACCTACTGCATGCCATATATACAGCTTCCAAAAATTTCCATCCATTGCTCATTTACCCTGAAGGTGGCAACTAATGTTTCCCAAAATGTTTGATAATTCTCAACATTTGGTGTGACTCATCTTCTAAAGTCAAAGGTGTGCTTTGTACATTATTTCTGATGCTTTGAATCAGCCATGACTCTGTAATTTTCACATGTGCTGTTACATGAAGCACACCAACATGTAAGGCTATTCAAAAGGAAGAGACCTTTATCAATTTTTTATTCATTAGACTGAATATAGTGCATAAGAATCTTGCAGTAACTGTCATATATGGATCTGTGTGAACATACACTATTTCAGTAGTGAACTGTTTTCCTTTACAGATTTTTCTGTCATCTGAGGTGGAGGCTATGGCCAAGATAGTTCAGGATTTGGAATCTCAGCTTGCGAAATCTCAAGAGGAGAATGCAGGGCTGACCAAGAGCATGGAAGAGTTGGATGAGCAGCATCAGGATGCAATTGGTTAGTAGTCTTGTACCTGCAAGGTTATCTTCAGGTAAAGGAGCTTTAAACATGTGTAACATGATAATGGCCACAGTTTCAGTAATGTATATTTATGAATATTGCTTATGCTGGCATTTCTACGTAAAATCATTTGAATTAGAACATACTTCAAAGTTTTGTATATAACTTTGGGAGGTGTGTATGATGTCTTAGAGTAAAAGAATTAAGTAAATATGTCTTTTGAAATAAACATTGGTATATTTTGTATGGGTATACTTTGAAATAAGAGTTAAGAATTTTACATGTTATTAATTGGAGTCATATTGACATGACTGATTTTTGTCTTTGTATAACTGATCAAGTAGTGCCATGTACCATCCATTGATTTGTATTTGAGAAAAGTACCAAATTAACTTTTTAGGTTTGAAAACATTAATGTTAATCTTCAACAAGAAATCGGAAGTGTGTTTAGAAAGTAAAATGTGCCTAATTATTGTGTAAAAATGCTGTAGTTTACAATTGTAAATTGATTGTTATTTGTCTAACTTACATTTGAATATATTAGTGAATATTTACATACATTTTTGGTGTTATATTTAACTTTGTCAGATATTCATCTTTCCTCTCATATGAGATATTGATTCTCATGTAGTATATTTTTCTGTAAGCCATTAAAGAACTAAATGAAGGTTGCATTTTTGATCATGTGCTAAAAATTCTGAACAATTCAGTATGAAAATTGGTTTATTTGTTGCAAAATAAATATTCGTTCTCTGCTGTTTGTACATATTGTCCACACAGTGGTAAGAAAGGTGAAGATAAAAAATGAAACATTCATTTTAGATGTCATATTTATTATCTCTTTATGCAGAAGTATATGAACCAAAAATAATGCAAATTTATTTACATGTTATGTGACTCCTTACTGTCTGTGCTTAATATTTTCCAGATCAGTTGCTCAAAGTAAAGCAGTCACTTCTGAATCAGTATGAAACACTGCAGTGTGAATTAGCAACCCTCAAGCAGATACCTGGTTTTGAGGAACATGGGTGTACAGTGAGAAGTGAAAACTTTGTAAAGATTGATGTAGGAACAGAATGTTTGATTCCTGCAGAGTCATACAAAGGAACCCAGACTGAACCATGCAAAGATATTCAAAACAGTGATGAGGTTTGCACAGAATGCAGACAGAATTTTGAGGTAGAGTTTCAAGAGAAGATTTTGAAGCTTATAACATTTGAAATACCAGAATGCTATTTTGGCTTTAACAACAACGTTAAAGATGATGTCGTTCCCCTAGGGACAGTAGAAGCTTTAGTCAAGATGTGTGTAGAATCCAAGTGGCAAAGAGACACACTGGAACGTAAAATAGCGGAGCTCATGAAGGAGTTGCGAGAAGCAAAGCACATGTGTGAGCAACGTAACAGGACGGCCAATGAGCTGGACTGTGAGTGCAGAATGCTGAAGGGCAATGTTGAAACACTTATAGAAGAGTTAATGGTGAGTAAGGGTAGTGGTGGTGGTGAGGCTTTGGCCCCCATTCCTGAAAATAGTGAGGAGACAGAAGCAATGGAGCAAAAAATGTTGATGTTGGAGAATGAGATAGAGGTGCTGAGAGAGGCCAGATCAAACCTTGAGGCTGATGCAAAGGGACTGAGGGAAGAATGCCAGGTACTTGTAAGAAAGATGCAGGCTGCAGATGCGATGCAACGGAACCAAGAGAATCTGCAGACAGAGGTCAGCAAATGGCAGGAGGCTGCAACTAGTGCTGATGGACAGTTACAAGAAGCTTTGGCAGCAAAATCTTGTCTAGAGGAAGAGGTAGAGAGGTTACATGAAGTTTTCTCAAGGCAGAGGACACTAGAGGAGTTGCAGGAAGAGATTACACAGCTACGTGAAAGGTTACTTGACCAGGAAGATATGCAGAACCAGAAAGAAGCCTTGTTGAATACAGTAAAATACACACAAGACCAGTTGCTTCTCTGCAATTTGGAGAAGTCTAAATTAGAAGATGAGGTAAAGGAATTACAGAAGAAGGTTGAAGATTTGAATTCTCATGAGCACTTGCAGCACCAGCAGCAGCTTTTTGAAACACGAGAAGCAAAAGAGGCCTGCATTGTTTTTCAGGCACAGTTGACAGCTAAAACAAGGCAGCTGGAAGATGCCTCACTGAAGATCTCTGAATATGAGCAGCATTCTCAAGACTTGAATCAACAACTAAAATATTGTAAGGAGAACCTGGACATTGTGAAAGTACAGTTGGTTGATACAGACACTCGATTAAGCGAAGTACTGAATAGTAGAGTATCATTGCAAAAGGAATTAGGTTGTGTGCGTGAAGAGCTCAATGAAAAGTTGAAAGAAATTTCTAAATTGGAAGATGAAAAGACACTGATTGAGCAAAACCTCATGCATGCTATTAGTGACAAGTCAAATTCAGAGAGTATGTATGAAGATCTTCTTTCTGAACTTAATGCCAAGGGTGTGGAAATACTGAATTTGAAGAAAGTGAAGCTGGAATTAGAACAAGAGATTGAAAGACTCCATTCTGCCAGAGCAGAGATAGACTATGAAAGATTGGGTCTTCAGGCCACAGCTGTTGAAGTAGACAGATGGAAGCAAATGGCCGAGGCATCTGAGAGACAATTGAATGAGGCACTGCAAGTGCGAGACGAGCTGGAACAAGAGTGTAAAAGACTATATTTGATTCAGACTCAAGTACAAAATCAAGAACATCTACACAGGGAATTAGAACAACTGAAGAAGTTGTCGGAAGAAATGGAACAGAACTCTAATCAGTTACTGACTGACAAATTATCATTGGAACAGCAGTGTGCAGACTTGAAAGACAGACTTCATAATCTAGAAGATATAGAGAAAGAGGTAAAAGAGAGAGCAACAGATGCAGAACAGCGACTTGTGGATGTACTGCATGACAAAACTGAATTAGAAACAAAGTGCCAGATGATGCATACTGCTGAGGAGAAGTTTAAGAATCTAGAGAAAGATTTTGTCAGGCAGAAAGACTTGAACTTTGGTCTCCAACAGGAGTTGAGTGAAGTTATGTCAGCAAAATGCCAGCTGGAGACAGAATGTAAGAGGTTGCTTGCTGTAGAGGGAAAGCTTCGAAAACAAGACAGTTTGAAACTGGAATTGAATGAGTTGAGACAAACGTTAGTAGCTGTTGAACAAGAACTGAATAAAGTTGTGACAGCTAAGTTGCAACTTGAGGATGACTACAAGAAAATGGAAACAATGCATAAAGTGCTTAAGAGTGAAGTCACTACTCAGAAAGCAGATAGTGGAAACCCTGAGGAAAGTGAAACATTTAACACTCAGGAAGTGATGAAAGCAACGGAACAGCAGATCCAAAGTTTACAGAGTGAGCAACAGAAACTTTTATCTGATCTGGACAAGAAGACACATGAAAATATTAAACTTAAAGCAGACAACAGTCGGTTTCTGCAAATTATTTCAGATCAGGTACCAGTTGCTGTGAACCATCAGGAGGGTAATGAAGCAGTACAAATGGCTAAGGAAACGATTGCAAATCTCTCAAAGATCATAATGGATAAAGATATGGAAATTGAAGCTTTGAATCAAAATAAAGAAACCCTCTTACGTCGTCATGAGTCAAATTCTAACGATGAAGAGTTCATGAAATTTAAAGAGGCTGTCTCTGAACAACTAGGCAGACTTAACAGTGAGAGAGCAGAGTTAATAAGAACTGTGCAAGTGAAGCATCAAGAAAGTGTTCAGTACCACAGTGAAATTCAGCGACTAAGTGGTTTACTAAGCCAGGAGATGAAGAAGCTAGAAGAGATAAGACACCAACATACCAAACTGGCTCACCAGTATGAGGAGAAACAGAAGTTGGTGCTTAACATGCAGACTGATTTGACTGCTGCAAATCTGAGAATTCAGCAGCTGGAAATGGGACAGATGAATTCAGCTACTGATGCTGATGCTGCATGGAGAATGTCTGAGCTTGTTCAGAGGCATGCAGAAGAACAGCAAGTAAGGGAAAACAAGATCCAGATACTGCATTCACAAGTCACAGACCTGCAGAATCAGTTAATTCTTATATCTCGACACAAACATGCTGAACCAGTCTCTCCTTCACAGAACAAGGTGAGTAGCAATGTCAGGTCATAAATCATCACTGATCATTGTATGATGTACTTTATCATGTTTATTGCACTTTTCTCAAGGTTAGTTAAAAATGGTTGGTTCATTACACAACAACTGTAGTAGACATTGTCCACTGTCAGATTATTTCATATACATAACATTTTAGGTGCTGGTTCAACTAGCATCGTCAGATGATCGGTTGTCATTATACTGGCATATTTTTATTAGTTTTAATTTTAAGATTTGTAGCAGTGATAGAATAACATGTTTGTTAAATTTTAATATTTATAGAAATAAGTTTAATCAGTCAATTTAAAACCTTTTCTTTATCGTTTCTGAACATTATATCCCATGATTATGAGCTGGCATAGCTCAGTCAGTATAGTGACTGTTTAGAGACTGAATGATGGGGGTTCGATCCCCAACGGAGGCAGAGGATTTTTCCTCTGGATTCTGTGTCCAGACCAGCTCTGGGGCCCACCCAGCCTCCTATCTAATGGGCTGGGGCCCTCTCCTGGCGGTAAAGCGCAGCTGGGGTGTGATGCTGACCACTCACCCCCATCTAGTGCCAAGGTCAAGATTGACTAGGAGCTATATCGCCAGTCGCCTACGTGGCGCATAGTGGGACAGCTTTTCTTTACTTCCTTTTATACCCCATTTATAGAAGTGCTGCTTCTAAGTAATCTGTGTACTCTTTTGTGTCTTTACAGGAAGGGAATGTGCTTGTTTCATTATCTGAGGATATTCAGGCGCAGCTAGAAACATTACAGGCTGAATGCAAGCGTGTGACAGACAGTCTTCTGCAAGAGCAGATCCGAAACAAGTACTTGCAAAATGAGGTGATATGCTGACTTCTTCCTACATTGTGGTATCATTAGCGTTTATCTGAAGGACCATATTTTATTGTTTAGTGATTAGCACTACTCCTTCACATTCAGAAGGTCCCAGGTTCAAATCTTGGCCCAGGATTTCTCTGCCTTTGGCTTAGAGGCTTGTTTTTCAATTATGCATACTTAGTGATCTTAACATGCAAAATATATTATTTTCAGTCCTTTGTGTTTGTATTCTATTCATAGGTATTTCTGTTATAAGTGTTCTTAAGTTTTTAAAGAACAGTCAAGAAATTCTGGCATTAGCTGTAGTATTACTTTGCAGTAAGAGGGGAATTTAATAATTTTTGGAATGTACTTATCCTAGACTACACTTTAGAATCTGTCTTCTTTGGTATCTTTCTAAAGACTTTATTTATTATTTTGGGGGTGCTGTCATATCTTATTCTTTCAATAAGTTCTTTCTTATTTTTTTTATTAGTGGTGAATGAAATTTGTAATTCTGTTTTTTATAATTGTCATCATTATTATTAAAACACTTTTTGCGTGTTTATTGGGTTTTTGGACTTTGTCCATCGTCCAAGATTAAAATGTACACAACGTTTCGAAAACTGAATCCATTTTCATCTTCAGGTATGTGGGGCAGGGGCACCTACTCTGCTGTGTCTCTGAGAAACAGTTAATCTCAGTCACTGCTATACTGGTCCAGTGATTGAGACGGGTCCATTTTTTTAAACATTATGCACATTTTAACCTTGAACGATGGACAAAGTCCAAAAACCCAATAAACCCGACTGTATCACACCATCGTCAGAACCCTACAGAATCCAACTTCTTGTGTGGTCAAGGGATTGTAATAAGGTGTCTATTTTTAAATTCATTTCCACATATACCAGTCTTTTCTCATCAGTCCAGGTGGGTTTTAATTTGCTGTCATGTATGATACCATGCCTGGTGTGGAATGCAGTGGTACTTATATTGCAATATATTATTATTTGATTCTTGTTTGATGTAATTAGTGTGTTTGCATAATTGTATTTGTTGATTTGTGACATTGAATATTCTCATTGCTTTTCTAGTTTGTGGATACACTGGTACTGCTATCATGGCAATGTACACTGCTCTATCTTTACTATCTGTTGTGTCAATTCCAGAGAATTACAAGGTCTAAACTGAGTGGCATTTTGAAAAGTTATGAAATCAGACAAAATGTTGGCTTGCAATCAAGTAATTACAGCACTCAGAAGAGGGTTAATAGCTCTCTGTTACTGTAGAATCATGTTTATTTATCAGGTACAAGAACAATATGAAAAGGAGAGTGCGCTTTTGAAGAAGCTTGAGAGGTTACGGCTTCATCTGGTGGCAGTAGAGGAGGGTTATACCCAAGAAGCCCTGAAAAGTGAGGAGCAGGTGAAGGACCTACAGAACAAATTGGCACAAGCTGAAGAGAGAATCAAGAATTCCTCTACAGCATACACATCTGCAAGGTTAGTACATTATTTATAATTTGGGGTTGTAATTATGTTTTAAGAAAGAAAAAAATTATTGGCAGTGGAAATGGGTTTTTTGAAATTGCTAACATGAATATCATGACAAAAGCCTAAATTTTATTTTTGAGAAAAGGGTTTACAAACTTCTGTTTTTGGTGAATTTAAAGCAAACAATATGTTTTATACATGTCTAAAGAATGGCAGATAACAGATGACCGAAACAAGTGCTGGAGTGGATGCCGTCAGGAAGAAGGAAGACTGAGTGAGAGTTAGTTGGATGAAGGGAATTCAAGGATAACCATTGAGCTATGAAAGATGACAGGCAGAGTCAAGTGTAAACCCATTTCATCACCATTTAGTTCACTTTTCCTACAGCTGAAAAGGAAAATCAGAGTGACCCATCTGGCGTTGATTAAACATAAAAATGTTGTCATGTACAATTCTGTTTTCAGAAGCCTGAACCTATGTGACTATCTTGACACTGACCTGTTTTCAGTATTACATAACATTTTCCACAGACCTGATATGGCTTTGTGGAGCATGTTGAGGTGGAGATTAGCATGAATTAATTTTGGGTACTGAGTTTTTTGTTTATGATATTTTACCAGTATCAGGGCCAATCAGCATGTGGAGTCCCTACAGGGCCAGGCTCGGCTAATTGCTCAGCAGAGAGATGACATCCAGCAGAAATTGTCAGCTGCTGAGGATCAAATTCACCATCACTCTGCGGCACTACATAATCTACAGATCGTACTGGAACAGTTCCAGAAAGGTGAGGGCTAATCATTTCCATCATGCAGCCAGTAAGATGTAGACTGCTAGCTACAGTTCTAGTAAATAAGTACTCTGTTTTCTCTAAACTTTATTTCCCATTGTGTATTTTGGTTTCTGCATCATTACTGGCACAAAGCCAATTGGGATGACAGAGGTTTGGGATGGGGTGGCTGCATTGTAAATAATGAAAAATTAAGCAGATTATCTTACAGGCAACAATAGCTTTTCAGATTTTTGATGCATAGTTCTTTTTGAATCTTAAGTGACAAATATTTGTGTTGTGCTCTGTGAGGGTATATTAGGCTATATACATGATACATTGTGGCTCAGAAAGGGTTAATTTAGAACTTCAACACCTGTTATAATGTGGCTGGGCTATACTGTTGCAGCAATGAAATATGTAATCATAATTGTGTGTTGGCAGATAAAGAGAGGGAAATAGATTCAGCAACAGAGAGACTGCAGCAACAGCTTCAAGAAGCACATCGACGGCACGATGTACTGTGTGATGAAATACTTGCACTCAAAGTAAGAGTCTGTTCATAAATTCTATTCCACTTCCAGATGTCTTGCAGAATTATTGCCAGGTTAATGAACGTGTTTCTTAGGGATATATATATACATGTGCCATGAGGAAAATAAAAGAAATATTGGGAAGGACAGTAAATCTGTTTTAAATAATCAGCATTGATTGATTCCATGATTCCAGAGGAATGTTGCATGGAACGTCATACCTAATTGAAGTTCAGTAATATTACAGTCAACATTAATACAAGTTATAGGTAGATTTGAGTTGCAGTTTAAGTGCAAAGTAATGGTCTCTTTGTTGTTAAAGTTGGTCTTCTAGCATGTAACACCATATGACATATAGCCCATAAGACCAATATCGACATCATCATTGCCATGAGAACATTAAATCTCTCGCAAAGATGCAGTTGTCACAGCCCATTTGTACACTTCAAGAAACGTACTTTGGCTGAACAGTTTTTTCATGAAATTTTTTCTTTCACCACTAATGTATCTTGAGGAAATCTATTTTTGGGCCATATTAGAAGTCCGATTAAATGTTTTTGTTTTTTTCAGAACATGTATGTATGTTCCCAAATGATCTTATTGATGAGGCTTCTTATTTACTTTAAAGGCATGTGAGCACCAGAAAACAACCATTAGAACAATATTGCAAGTTCAAACTAATACCATTGAACATTCCAACATGGATAGTGACTTCATAGGCACAGACTGCCATTAATGGCACCTTAACAATACAAGACATGAAACATCTAAAACGTCTTGCTGATTCATGGCTGTTAAGGGTCACTGGCCTAGTTTTGACACATTTTAATAGGGATAAATACAATGTATACTAATTTTGTATAATTTGTATACTTTTGTTTATTTAACCTTCGGTGTTTAGGTTCAGTTACAAGCAGCAAAAGACGGTCTTAGCGCTGCCGCTCGACTGGGAGAGCAACTGGATAAGAAGTCAGAAATAATTACTGATCTGAAGGAAGAAGGTAAGAATGAAATTTACATTTGTTTTATTAATTAAACTTGTTACATTGTATACCTCATACCAGATCAGGGTTAAAGGAATCACTATTCATGAAACCCTTTTATGGAGGGGGGGAAAAATCTGTAAAACTGCTATCAGATAACAACATAGGAACTCTGTAATCTGTGTTTCGGTATCCTTGAATCAGGCTGTAGTAGGTACATGTATTTGTTGTTAAATGCCAGCCTTACCTTGTCTAAGTTTGAGTTCTGTGAGTTATTCTTGTGAAACATAGTACTGAAAAACTGATTGTGTTCATGCATTTTTATGAAACTAGAATATAAACGAGTCTTAATAATATTACTGAAGTCACTTAACCTTATATAGTTGATTACCACACAGATACTTTGGGATGAATAGGCCAGATGAACCTAGTCCATCTTCATGTACTATTTCTTCATGATTCATTTTATAATTATTCTCCCATCTGTGCCTAGTTTTCGCAAGTAGTTTCTTCCATTGTGTTTTCAGACCAAAATTTTGTATGGATTTCTCTGCTACATGCCTTTCCATCTCATGCTCCTTGATTTGATCATTATAATAATCTTTGACAAAAAGTACAAATTAGGAATCTCTTTGTTGCACAGTTTTCTCCAGCCTCTTATTACTTTCACTGTATTAGATCAAAATATTTTCCATAGCATCCTCTTCTCTAATGACTCTCAATGAATTTTTTCCTGTCTGTTGAAGGATCCATTCAAAACAGGTAAAAATATAGTTTTGTATGTTTTAGGTTTTGTGTTGTTGAATAAGAGATGGGAAGACAAAAGATTCTGAACTCTGTTGTAGCAAGCATCTCTCACATGAAACTTTTCCCATTTCATACAAACTGCAATTTTTATTTGATACTGTTTCCAAATATTGAAATTTACCAAATCTTCAAATAGTTTACCATATTAACTATTTTTATATTATGATTTTATGCTGAATTCTGGTGATGAGTCATGAACATAAAAATTGTATTGTTTTAAATATTTCATAAGTCAGTAGTGGCAGAATTTTGTTACTTGAATGAGTAACCATATCTGTGTTAAGATATAACTAACTAACTAGATGGCTTACCGAACCCGAAGGTTCATCGCCGAATTAACCAAAGCCCTCCACATGTTAAGATATAACTTGTTATGATGCCACAAATGTTTGATTTAATTCTGGATCTTAAATAATAGCGAGTTCTTCTGTTGGGTATTAGCACAAAAATTTTAAAGTGTAGTCTTGGCTAAAATATTAATATTTGTAGTCAGTTTTTATGTGTTTCATAGGTGGTATGTGTATTGCTGTATTTTACAGTTTTCATGTGGTTTTTCCCCCTTCTCCATTGTGTATTACGCTTGTAATTTGCTGCCTCTGTCACGTGAAGTTGCATGCTATGAGAAACAAGCGAACATTACAAACATGGTGGACTTTGAAAGTTATTGGTGTGTTTAATGTGCCATCTTTGTGAAGTCATGTAGTAAATTCCTTCACCGATTACACATTTTATTAACAGCAGTAAATGTGTTTCTTACAATTACTTCCCCCCCCCCCCCCATATTTTTCTATGTACCAGAGTTGTGGGATGGACACTGCTTTTATGGAACTTGGATTTGGGGATATAGATCAGTTAGGGACATTAACATAAACTTTTTTAAACACATCTTTATTTCATTCCATGGATACGTAATTAGTCTGACAGTGGGATGTGAAATAAATCGTTATAATATGGTATATATTGTAAAAGTACAATTTATGCTGTCATAAAGATTTCATATATAATAAACAGAAGGTTCACACAATGTAATGACATGTTAGAAAGAAATCCACCCGTTACGAACAATGGATAAATTATATTACAACCATAGAAATTTATGTTCTCTTAAAATATATGAAACTAACTTTACCATTTGGACCTTGGTCTCTCATTTTAATATTCAGAGTGTTTAAACATTTGTGTTTGTTGATTTGAAGTAGCATTGTTTCTTAATTATAAGTTATAATTAAAGTTATATTTTTACATATTTTATATGAGGCTTGATAAGGTCTTGTAATTAGGTGGTATTTGTCTGTCTACAAGAGGACAGATTTATAAAACCATTTACTCCAAATCCTACCATTATATCTCTTCCTCAGTTGCTTCATCCCAGTCGATGTTTGGATAAAATCATGTAGTAGTTACCTTGGTCTGGACTTCGCATCAATTAATGGAGAAATTTTTCCATAAAATATGTAATGATTAAAGTGTGCCATAGTGTCATTCGTTTGCTTCTGTTGTCTGCTACAGATCTGTTTTTGTGTTGTGAAACCTATAATGTATGTCCTAATTTGATTATTGCATTGGTAGATTTTATACAACTTTGTACTACAGTACAAAAATTTGATATTCTGAAGTCAGTACACTAAGGTGCATAAACGTAGTATTCACATACACAGTTTGTACTTTTTAGGTGTGTTTGCAATTAACATTTACAGTGCTAAAGCCATAGGTACTGGATGAACCCTGTGCACCGGCTGATTTTCACTATTCTATACACGCCAGAAAAGATTGCTGAATAAAATTCAAAAGAAAACAGACTCTGATCTGGGCCACTTTTAACTGTGTTTATGAAAATTTTGGACACACACATTTGTTGTTACATTATAAAACTGGGATTAAAATTTAAATTACTGTTGGTTTTTTACATGAAACATATTCAGCAAACCTTAAGTGTTTTCCTCACTATTTTGCACCAGTAACAAAGCAAACACATTAGCATGACGTGCCCTGCATTGCAGAAACTGTTATGGCATATTTATTGAGATGCTTTTGGTAAGTAGATTAAATGCAAGACCCGTGAGAACCATATTTATACAGTTTGAGTTCTAATATTTTGTTGAAACTACACTAGCACCATAAAAATTTGAGCTGTGATTTTAGTCATATCACCCATGCAGTAATGTTATGATGGCAAAACTATATGTTAAAAGCTTACATATCCAATAATTGAGAACATCTGTTGAGGGTTGAACTTCATGTTCATGTAACAATCATTTAGTTGAGTGGTTTTGTTAATAGCAGAGGGACATAGTGCAATATTGAAACACTCCATTGTCCTTGAAGAAACATATTCTGACTGCACATGGCCGATGAATTTTGGTTTGTCCACCTTTGCATCAGTTAGCTTCACCAGCCTGAAGCAGCTGATTCACACATTTTAGTCACAAAAGTTAAGAGGGTGGGAGAAGCTACCTGTTTGTCACGAACAAACTATGAAGGTTGCATAATGAACTGTAATACCTTAAAATGTAGATGTATTGAATATTTTGTTTGTGGAGGCTGTATTAGTCTGGGATTAGGCACTGGAATTAGTGCTTAGTGTTTTTGAATCAATAATGGCTAGATCCATGCAAATATTTCTACATACGTTTTTTTCTTTATGTATGACAGAGGTAGAAGTTTGCAGCTGAGGAATGAGAGACCCTTTGTTGTTTGGTGTTCACATTAAACTGTAGGTTTCGTGTGACAAACAATGCCTTATTATTATACAGATGGGGTATCAAAGTCCAGATCTCAGAAATAGGCTCTTTATCCATGCCAAGCATGCAGAGACTTGGAAGGTTGTACAGATTGTAACTGGAGGCATTAACTAGAACATAGTTACATACTCGCAGCTTGTTGATGTAGGGACTGAAAACTTCATACTAAGTTTAAAAGTGGTTAATTGGGGATTTCAGGTTTTCATTGCTACAAGTATGAAGATGACTGTCATATGCCTTGCAGTCTTGTAGAAATGGACTGAAATTTCAGAGGTGTTTACTACCTCCATCATGAGGTACTTGATGATGGTGGCAGTAAGTATCTCTGAAATGTCAGTCTGTTTTTATCAGATTACACAGAGCAAGATCCCAGAAGCCAATCATCTTTAAAAAAGGTTAATTTTAAAAATTAGTTGCAGTGGGTGTGACTGTATTAATGAAAATTAAGGTCATACTTGATGGAAGGAGTATGCAGAAGGTATTCAGTAAAATATTCTCAGGCTACAAACAACGTCAATGTTGGGCAAATGCCTAGTGTTTCAGAAGATTTTATAAAGTTTAGTTGGCATAAAAGCTTCTAGTCGTATTTCATAGGTATTCTTTACATTATTCGCAGTAGTCCTGTTGTCATCTTGTGGTACAAGATTCTGTTGTAAAGAATGGTTCAAAATATCTTACCCCTTGTTTCCCTGCCTCCTTCCAAAAACAAAGGATATGTACATGTAATAAAATATTTATCTTGCTAATGTCTGTTACTTGTGCATGATAGGACTAATATTATATAGAACATGAATGGAAACTCCATCCACTTTATTTTGATTTAAAATGCATATTTTAACACACACCTGAAATCTTCAAAACAGGAAAGTGTTATCCTCTTAATTTTCTTTATAGATGTATTTACTTTACAATTATTGATTGATTGAATTGATACTGAATTGTAGCATTATGTAGCTCTCAAGGGATGCCACTGGTAGAACAGTAAATAGCTGGTTTATGGTCAAATATCAGCTGGTAAATACTGGGGTTGCATGATTAAAATCACCCAGGTTGCTTGTTGATATCAGGCTTTTATCCAGCAATTTCAGCTTGACAGTTATCACTGCTTGTGTGTGGAAGAGTACAAGCATGCCTGCATGTGAAAATGAGGACATTGAAACAAGCAGCTACCAATCATAACTGGTTAATGTACGTTATCACCTCCCTCCAAAGGACTTCGTAACAAATGCAAATAACTCACATTGATATTTACTGTAGAATTGCACGGTGAAACCTGTGAAGTTTGTCACATATGTGTATGTTTATTAGCTCTTAAATTGACCACATTTTTAGTGGACTGCCATAAAACTGTCAATTTATACACTGTTAACCTTTAATTTCAAACTTTGTCTTCCTTTCATTTTTTTCACCCTTTCTACATTTATACTTATGACAGTCCCTCTGTAGTGCCAGTTATTTTGAGAGTAGCAC